TCTATGTGATCTAATACTAATATCACTTGACAGGGGTGTTTTGTTATTTTCTCTCTTCTGTGTCAAACTCATTATTATAAAGTATTTTTTATATATTATAATTTTTTTTTTCTTTTTTCATTTTGACAGTTTTGTTTCTCTCATATTATTTTTGATATTGTATAAATACTGATTATTTCTATTCCTTCACTGGTTGAGTGTAAGAAAGTCACATGGGTAAACGCTAACTCTGCCTTTTGATACTAAGTAACTTTTTTATGTAAATATGTTCCATGTATTTATTTCCATACTTATTATCAATGAAAGCGATTATTATTATTATTATTATTATCAATTAGGTGAACGATTCAAAGGAAGTGTACATCATTTGGGTCAGCGGTTCACCCTCGACATTTTCAAATAAGGATGGTTGACTATACAGGGTGTCTCGAAATTAGCATGCCAAACTTCACCAGCGGCTTTCACGACCAAAAATAGAAAGAATACCTTCAATGAACACGAGTTGAGAAATGTCTTCTGAGGGAGCTACGGCCCCGTGAAAGGGGGGGGGTTAAAAAACGCCGTCACTGAACTTGGTTCTCAGATGTAAACAACGATTGTCATTATTCATTCAAATGAAGTCCTATTGGTTTATTATATTGTTTGAATGATCAATATCGTTTCAAGTTTTTTCTAATCGGATAAAAATAGCAGAATTATTTTGCAGAGTTTCTTTACAAGGTTTTTTATGAGACAATCTGTTCATTTCTAAATAATGGAATTGTTTATCGCATTTAGGTACTTTATACTCTTCTTTTCGAACAATTATTCCCATGATTAGTTCCAATACATCTATTTTTTTGTAATACATGACAGATGACCTTCAAATAAACATGAATTCCCACTAATAGAAACAGTGATGCCTATTCTGTATAAATAGATTTGAGCACGTGGGAAATGAAAATTCAGTAATATTTAGTGAAGATGGATTTTCATTATATTTCTCGAAACATCTAAATTCTATAGAGGTTTGAATTGAAGTTTGTACAAGTATACCCGAGGGGTAAATCTCCTTGGAAGTCTGGTGTACACTCCGTTGGAAGTCTTTGGAAGTCTTTGGAATTCTTTGAATGTCTTTGGAAATCTGGATGTTTTTAGATGTCTTTGGAAGTCTTTGGATGTCTTTGGAAGTCTTTGAAAGTCTTTGGGAGTCTTTGGAAGTCTTTGGAAGTCTGGAAGTCTTTGGAAGTCGCTGGTCATTGGAAGTCTGGTGTACACATTTTTCCTGGAGATTTACCCCTCGAGTATACCAAGAACAGTACAAACTTTTCAAGAGCTTTTTAACATCGATACATTTTAAAAAAAGTCAGGGGCGGGCAGAAGAGGTTCACTTGAATGAAAGGGATGTCCGATAATGCTCCCGCATGGCGACAGTAGAGTTTTATTCATGTACTTTACACTCGACTTTACACGTCAAAACAAAAGTGTCAAATTCGCGATAGAAAATAACAGGTCGCCCCATCTGACGGCAACAACTTGAACACTTCTGAGCGGTTTGTTTCAATGATATGACCAATAAGCACAAACAAAAAACAAATATGAACCAATGAAAACAAAGTGAACAGGCCACTTTGACAGCTTTCAAGAACTCCGTTAGGTGGCGTACGCTTATTTTCTATCGCGAATAGATTGAGGAACTCTAGCCTGCTCTAGGCGACACTAGTGTGCGTGACCACTGACATAACTACTATTTAGACCGCTATATGCCATATCCCACAAACCCGAAAATCTCAACCAAAATAAAATCGCGAGGGGCAAACCACCTTGGAATTATAGTGTACAACCTTGTGGGATTCCGTGGGATTTCAAAGGATTCCATGGGATTCCATTAGATTTAAATGAGAATCTCTAGTCAACAGCCATTTCCAATACGATATATATTTTCATGAGTTGATGTTCATAGTTTGTATGGTATAGTGGCGACTGAATATTTTCCCCTTTATCGCAGTGAACTTTAAAATCGCATGCGGTGTTGAAATATCTGACAAATGAACTGACGTTTCTTTCAGTGAGATTCACAGCCACAAACATCTAATCTAAAAATTTCAAAAAATATACAGGGTGTAAACAAATAAGAGTCAAAACGGAAAACTGTAGATTCCTCATAATAAAAAAATAATTTCTGTCCTCTTCAAAATTTTTCTCCGGGCTTCCGTTTTCAAGATACAGGGCGTCAAAAAATCAAAACTACAGTACTAATAAACTTTACCTTTTTGAAAACCAGCATCAAGAACCTGACATTTGATTGAACATATTATGAGACAGTTCCGAGGTGTTTATTTCCATTGGATTTTTAGACGATTTTTGGAAATACCATCAGGATTTTGTATGTTCTTATTCATAAAGAGCCATTTTTCGCGGAAACTGTTCACTTTAGAGCATTGAGACAAGAAGACGTTTTTTGTTTGAAAGATATTGGCGCTTCAGAATCTACTTTGAAAATTACAATTTCTCTAGTGGCACTAATGTTTGGGGGGTTAAACCCATACGAGGCGTTGAATTCTCCTCCACTGACATGTCCAAGGAAATTGATCAAGAGCCCTAAAAGTAGTCATTATTGATGATGAAGTGTGTACGAAGGCTTCACTCCGTAGCTCAAACGGTTCTTGAGATAGAAGCAAAAAACAGATTTTTTGGTATTTTTTCAACGCCCTGTATCTTGAAAACGGAAGCCCGGAGAAAAATTTTGATAGGGAAAAAATTGTTTCTTCTTTCATGAGGAATCTACAGTTTCTCGTTGTGACACTAATTTGTCAACACCCTGTATAGGGTGGCTACGGAAGTATTGCCTATGGAATATCTGTTATTGTATGAAGTAGGTTTGTGAAATTTGGAGCGTCGATATAATGACATGAGAGCTAGAATTTGAGCATATTGACATGTCGAAGTTTTAACTTCCGGTCTGACCGGAAGTAACATCAGCTTTCTTATTTTAAATGGAAACCCTATTTTTGTTTCTTTTTGCTTTATTCAGCATTCAATTCTCTTTCTAATGACATATCACAAGTTGGTATCTAACCAGAAACTAGAACAGAAAAAAAATATTATTGAAATTCACCGAGTAGGCAGTGGAAGCAAATTTATGTTCTTCTTCTTGTATGAATTGACTTGTTTGAGAAGATTCCCCAGAAATAGATAGTTTGAAGAAACAATTAATTAATTCAGTACTTTATTCTCCTATGCTCTACTTTCATGCTAGAGTGCAAGAAATATAATTATATATGGTATATAAATTGTCATAAAACCCAGCTTTATCAACTGGCCAATCCAATTGCACCCTCTAGCGGCCGACCTGGAAACTTGATAATAATTTCCAAATCATTTTCTTGGACACTTTTATCATGAATATTTTTTCCGGAAATATGTTTGATCTCCTGAGTGGCATAGCTTTTTTCTTATGGCATTAGCATTTTAGATCACAGTTTATGTCAGTGTCATGAAAACTCACAATGTACAACCTCTATTGTGTGCTCATTGTATTATCATTATTGATATTATTTCATTCTGAACAAACTGAAATATTCCACTTGAACTGAACTGAATCAGTTAACATGCATTCTATTGAATGAATGTCTTTTGAAAGCTTGCATATTCACTGATTCAGTTCTGTTGTTGTAGAATATTTCAGTTTATCCACATTGAAAAAATACCAGTAATACCACTATTATCATTGTAGATGTTCTCAAGGAACACAAAGGCCAAAGGTTGGGGCACCTTAATGACGATTACTGATGGAGTTTCATATTCAACCAAAAAGGAATTAGAGACTATGGAACCCCTGTTTTATCCTAGCCCTTAGCAGGCCTAATGGCCTATTGCAAATGTGATCAAAATGCTTTGATCAATGAAAAGTTAATTGAAAAATAAACCCCAGTAAATGATTCCAATTCCCAATAGCAAAGACAAAAATACAAAGAAATTAAAATCCAAAGAGAGTAACAACAGTATTATGGACATAACTAGGGTTTCCAATCCTGGATCACAAAATCCTGGGATCCTGGAAAAATTTTCGTTTGGAAAATTCCAGAATAAAAAAATCAGAATTCTAAAAATAGCGATTTTTGTTAAAGATGAAATTGCAATCCCCTTTATTCATTTTTCTGTAAACCACTGGGGTTGGGCAAATTCAATTTTTATCAAGAAATACTGAGATGATTGAAAATTATTTCAATCCCACATTTTGATGGAATTTTCCTCACTATTTTTATTTCTAGTTACTATTTTCAAGTTTTTTAACCAAATATGATTTTTTGATATTTTACTTCTTAATTGTGAAAGAAACATTTTTTATTTCCTTATAATTAGAATTGAAAAAATTGGAAACCCAAGACATAACAAAATATTGAGTCATCAAAAAAGTAGGAAAATAATTAGTTCTATCCAAAATGTTATCATCAATGTTCCTGTAAATGTTTTATTTATTATTTCCTAGAGGGATTTTTGTTTACATCATATCTGATAAACATTTTTTGTCATATTTATTTTGATATATATTTGATGTTCAATGATGTATAAGACATAATCTGAAAAATTCCTGATCAATTTATGCAATTCCCCTTACAGACTTGTTTCTATATGTGAAGATGTTACATTTGAATCTTGATCACTACTGAATATTTATTTATATTCACACAGGCCTATTGGCCTAATTACATGAATTTATATATAACAGAAATACATACAGTTGATATTAATCATTTGTAAAGAGGTTCAAAAGAGAAACAAACAAATATATTCAATATGTTCTGAATATATTTGGTATGGGAATTGAGTACCCACTGGAATAGGGTTATTAGTTCTTTTCAATTGTTTCATTGTTTTAATGAGCAATGAAACAACTTGCTTCTACATATTATTATATATTATATTTCACTATATTTCATCCTTTTCAATAATCCAAAATCACACTATTCAAGTTTAATGCTCACAAGCTTTATCCAGTGCACTCAAGAAAGACTCACCCATATTTTTTCCGGTAAATATCTCTTGCTGCTCTCTGATACAGATATTCTCCAATGCGGTCCAGTTTTTCTGGAGAACTGAGTGAATAGAAGGTGAGTTTCTCCATGTTAGATTTGACCAGTCCATCTTGAGGGTATACAGGAAATATATTATCAACAAGCCTCTTATACCTTGGTCGGAAGGCACTGCAGCATCCACAGCAGCCTAAAAAGGTATGTTGCAAGATATGTGGTACTGGAAGAACATCTAATACTTTGACAACATTCATTATCAAATGATATTATCTAGACTGTTTATGACTATTAATTACCATTACACATTTCTGAATCTAGTAGGGTACAAGGTATCACCAATATCACACTGAATTAACACTTTAAACCTGAGTGGTTTTCAATGATTACTTTGAGTGTAGAACAACTCGGGAAATTAAATCATGATAACATTATTAATCACAGTCAGCTAATATCTTGAAATAGGTACTTCCGAGTACTTCTTATTTGTATAAAAATGAGTGTATTATAGAAAATTAATTGTTTATAATAAATAACAAGCAGCAATGAGCAAAAACAAGATATATAACCTTAACCCAACAATTGATCATAACAGTGACAGACTGACAGCATGACACAATTGACACAAGACACAAAACACCAGTAAACTACCAGTACTACCACTCCATACCAGTCCTAAAAATAATTGTAACGACCATGACTTCTGATACATGAATTCATTACCACCCTAAATGAAACAAAGTCAGGTTTTTGGACCAAGCACAATCAGGTGAAGCTTATTGCTGGGCGATTTTAGCTTTGACGATGCCAGCGATTAGGGTCCCTTGCATATACGTGTCCCTTGATGAAAATTTACGTTAAGGCGAGTTCCCAATGCAGCGTTTTTGCTTTACGCGTCGCGCGTCATGCAACCTGATTGGTGAAGCTGAATTTGAGAAATATTTGATTTTGTTGTGCTGAGGCTATGTTCCAGCAACATTAATATTCATTAAAGCATTATGAATTCTTTCAACACAAGATTTTTCATGAAAATGTAGGAATACTGGATGCAGCTTCATCAAACCCTGATTTCTGAGAGTAATTTCATGGTAAGTAAATCATTGCAGTATCACTGAAGTAGGTATACCTAACTAATTATCTCATTTTCACTATGCAATTTTCGTTTTTTGATGAAGTGTACTTATCTGATGCAGCTCTGTATATCTTGCAAGCATTATCCTATATTTTCAGTATTCTCAGATATTTCCATGATTTTCCAATGCAAATTTCAACCACATCGACAATGATAGGTAATTCCATTGGGAACTGAAGAAAATAATGAAAAACAGTGCAGCAATTCTCATTTACTCCTCACCAATCAGACTACGTGACGCGTGACGCGAAAAGCAAAAAAGCTGCATTGGGAACTCACCTTTAAAGTCGTCTCCCTTGATGGAAATTGACGTTAAAGTCGTCTTTCAATGATCTAGAAACTTTAGTTTTGTCTACTGGCATCCCTGACATTGCTGTCACGTCACATCCATGGGCGCTACAGAAAAAGATTTAAAATTTTAATAAAAGGTATGTACAGGGTATTTATTTGTTGAGGAATATCATACGGCGAAGGAGTATTGTAATTATGATCCGATTCTATTCAAAATTGAAAGGTATCTGGGGTTTTTCGGTGTTGGAGATAATGCTTTTTTCGTCAATTTGGACAATTAAAGATTACGGATCCAATATACAGGGTGATCCACGGTGGATGGCCTATTAGAAGTATCTGGAGAACGAAAAGACAGAACATTCTGAAAATTGGGTTTCTTCGATAATTGAACATTCTCTATCCGTCTAAAATATTGTCATCGATACAGTGTTGCCACTTCTATCAGAAACAACTAGCAACTTTGTTATTTCAAATGGAACACCCTGTATTTTATTGCATTTTTAGATTCTTTTTAAAGAGCTGATTTCATCAATGCATCACACTTGGGGTCTAGCAGGAATGATTACAGAGATATATAGGGTGTTCAAAATCGAGATTTTTTAATTTTAAGATTTTTTTTTTGTCGAAACAATTCATTATCGATCAAAACGGCTTACATGTCCCTATCTCAACTTTTGATTGACTATCTACTGGAATTTGATTGGAAAAAATACAGGGTGCTCCAATATAAGATTCAGAATTCTGATCACCCTGTATCTGATGCTGATATACAATATAAGAACAGTCTCTTTTGGTGAAATATATTAAGCTTCCAGTACAATTTATATGTTCACTACTTCGAAAATATTATGCTGGAGTAGCAGTAGAGTAGGTAGTTCACCTATATCTAAATCAATTTACACGAATCCAGTTGAAAGTTGAGAGGTCGAAATGAACCATTTTTGTGCCCTATTTTCGTTTTATTGAAGCGGTCAAAGTGTGCCATGTAAATTGAAGTGCAGTTCTTATAGCATTTTGTCTAATCTTTCTGAATCTGATGAAATTTTTCGGGAGAAGTGGTCACAATAAAGTGAACTTTTTTGACATAACAATGAAACATGAAATTTTCCAAAGTCCGGACCTAGATATTCTTCTCCATAATATGTTATCTTGAATAGTTTCAGTAGAGATACACGTCGCTGCCAAATTTCAGCAGATTACGATGAATCATTTCTGTAATATCGGCCATCAAAGTTATATATAGCAATTATCTATCTATCTATGTATCTTCGTTATGGAGGGGTCAAAAAATGTTTTCATATATATACATCAACTCGTCTTGATTTCCCCTATTAACCATTTGGCTATGTGAGTCTTGTCATATGAAACACCCTGTATATCCATTCTTTTTGTGTTCCAAAATATATCTGAGATTGTTCCTTTTCAATATACAAATTTTTCTCAAGTGCTTGAAAGGCCGACAACTGTTATACAGGGTAATTCAAAAGTCAGCGACTACCTTTCAGAATACGTTTAGAGTAGGACACCTTAAAGACGATATTTTCTCTATAACTTCAATGATCTTTGCTTGAAAACTATTCTCAATTCTATTTTGAAAATTGGTGTACGGTATATGGAACATCCAGTGGTGAATAAGACTCTGGATTCCAAATTCCAAAATTTCATTCAGAGGCTCTTCACATACGAGGGAGGGTAAGGGTAAAAACGTTCCTTATTCTGTTATCCTTTAGGTTATTATGATTTTATTTGGAAGTTTTGAAATCCTAGATTAGAGGTGCAAGGTGAGATATTAATTGGGTTAATGAGATGCCCCTCAGGCAACCAGATGACGTTCCAGTGACGTCTTTTTTACGTCACTTGAATGACCAATAAGGTGACGTCAGTAGTTGACGTCGCATTGACGTGAATAAGTCACAGCCTAATGACGTCATATTACTCACGTCGTATTGACGTCATTCACTCACCAAACTGTGACGTCCGACTGACGTCATAATAACGTCAAAATGACGATTGAATTTGGCGATGATACGTAAAAAAGATTCCTTGAACATAGTGTAATAAACACCACTAGCCTCTGATGACATTATATAATATTGAGTTGCATTGTTGAGTCTGCTTGGTGGGTCCCCCTCCTGTGTCATGTTCATTCAATCGCCTATTCAGCAGCGCCATCCTTCAGTACGCATCTCCATCAAAATGCAATCAGTTACTCGTATTTGTATCAAAAATTATGTAGTTTGTGTCGGCGAGATGTAAGCAAACAAAGAATAGTTTGATAGCAATGGAAAGGATGTTGGCGAATTTGGCTTCACCTTGTTGAATAATGTATATTGATGCATTCTTTGTCACCCAACAAAAATCTAAACTGCAAAAGTTATTGAAAAAATTTTCTAAATGACGAAGCTCACCAAATTGGTACGTCACACCGACGTGATTTTTAGACGTCATAGATGCGTCACTGCAACGTCATGAGAGTAAAGGTTTCAATATAAGTATACCTAAACAATCATTTTTATATATCCAATGCATGTTGGTTTCCGAGATACCTATACATATCAGTGTGTCAAAGTTTTCTAGAAAAAAGTTTTTCTACTTTCTTTTCGGTTATATTAATAATTAGAATGAAACTTGCATGTTTATTTGCTTTCATGAGTTATACTTCTGTTTCACATGATAATATATAAATATCCATGGTTTAGAGAGGGTCTGGGAAAAATGGACGTCGACAGGACGTCCCTGCAACGTCATGAAACTGACGTCTTCTTTCACCCATCTAAGAGACGTTCACTCGACGTCGAAACGATGACGTGATTATCACGTCATAGAAAGTACGTCATAGTGACGTCATAAAATTCGTGTGTGACGTCTCTGACGAAAAATCACCAATCAGGGACGTCACAGTGACGTGATCATTCGTCATCTGGTTGCCTGGGGCCCAGGCTGTCTGTATAAAAGTGAGTACAGCTCATCTATTATAAACTGATATCACTCAGAAGTATAGAGGAATTCTGCAAATTGTATGTTCGATCTGGTCCCTATTTACTTATTGGAAAATTACCTTTTCGTCTTTTTTTCACGATGTTATCTTCCGCAGATGACGATCTGAATACGAATTGTCTTCCAAAAGCTGCCATAAAATTACTACTGCGCCTAATCTCCTTACACGATATATCAATTTCGAAAGCCATAACATCGAAGGAAACAGCTACAAAACGGCTCCACACTTGAATGAACACTATGATGACGGGGAATTTGACAACGCATTCAAATCTATCATGAATTCGTTGTCAAAAGTGAGATGTCAAAAATATAATATCAGCAAAAATGTCAGAAGTCTGAGCTTCCTCACTGGAAGGCAACGAAGAGTCTCCACAATCATCTGATCACTGGCATATCAGGGTTAAGTAGTTGTCCAAATATTGTACCAGGTGAACAACTGATGAGAACATCAGCTGTCGGCGTGATCTGGAGTATCAATAGATATCGTCAATTACAAATGTTATGTACCCGAAAACTGCAACATGATAGCTTTTCGTTAACGGAAGATATAAGTTGTTCGCCCTGTATACAACTGATAATCTGATGGTGGCTTCATACAGTTAGAGCATAGAAATCATATTATATAATATACCTACGGACACTAGAATACAAGAGTCTCGAGATCATACCCGTGTGTTCACCGAACACGCCCGATCGTTCCCTAAGCGGCGGGGAAACGTAAAGGGGCAGTAACTACGTTATGAATGTTGGCGCGTGCCTGAATTATTTTGGTGTCAAATTTGTCAATTTAATGTACTTCGAAACGGAACACTAGTAGTTGTGCCTTCTTGTTTTACATATATTATATATAGGTAGACATCAAATCAATAAACATAGTGCTCTCGCCATCGGTATTTGCTGAACTTCGCTATGGGAAAAATGTTGAATAACTATATTGGGATGAAGAATGATCTATACAGGGTGTATCTAAATAACACCGAAATAATTCAAGGGATGATTCCTTGTGATATAATATGATGAATAATGGTCATATAAACA